CCTCAGCCTCCTGAGTAGCTGGGACTACAAGTATATGCCATCAAAATTGGCTAATTTTTTCGTACAGATGGAGTCTTGCGATGTTGCCCAGGCTGGATCCTCCCACCTGGACCTCACAAAGCACTGGGAATCATAGGTGCCACTGTGCATGGCAGAAAATCATGTTTGATAAAGTAAAGAACAATAGCATCTATTTCCGAGACAGGCCAAGAACTTTATAATCCCCCTAGGCTAATGATGTGGCAAACATCAGGAGAAAAGTCTTACCCAATTCTTCCTTACAGAGTGCTTTGGTCCTGTTCTAACTTCAGAACAGACATTTCACAGATTTGATCTGACCCTGGACAATTGTGAAACTTACCAGGAGACTGAAAACATTTTTTTTTAGAATCCTCTAAAAATAGGACAGAAAATGAGATTTTTAAAAAATGCAAAACAGGTTAATGTCTTTTTTTTTTTTTTTTTTAAGTGAGAGTGTCTCACTCTGTCACCCAGGCTGGAGTGCACTGGCGTGATTTTGGCTCACTGCAACCTCAACCTCTCGGGTTCAAGCAATTCTCCTGCTTCAGCCTCCTGAGTAGCTTGGATTACAGGCACAAGCCACCATGCCCGGCTAATTTTTTGTATTTTTAGTAAAGATGGGGTTTCACCATGTTGGTCAGGCTGGTCTCGAAATCCTGACCTTGTGATCCACCCACCTTGGCCTCCCAAACTGCTGGGATTACAGGTGTGAGCCACCGAACCCGGCCTTTGGGATTATCATTTATAGCATGATTTACTGAATCAGATTTGGTCCTGGATAACTTGTAATATGATTCTAGGTCTACCCAAGTTGTCCGAAATCTTCAAATCAGTAATGAAACCAACCCAAGACTGAGGATTACCTTGATCTTGGCTAGACTCGTGCTCCTGGGCTGCTGCTGCTTTTCTCTCTCTCTTTCTTGAGACGGAGTCTTGCTCTGTTGTCCAGGCTGCAGTACAGTGGTACGATCTCAGTTCACTGCAACCTCCACCTCCAGGGTTCAAACAATTCTCCTGCTTTAGCCTCCCAAGTACCGGATTACAGGCATGTGCCACCATGCCTGGTTAATTTTTGTGTTTTTAGTAGAGATGGGGTTTCAACATGTTGGCCATGCTGGTCTCGAACTCCTGACCTCCCTCATGATCCACCTAAGTCTTGGCCTCCCAAAGTGCTGCGATTACAGGTGTTAGCCACCGCGTCCAGGCTTTTTTTTTTTTTTTTTTTTTTTTTTTTTTAAGAGATAGGGTCTCACTATGCTGCACAGGCTGGCCTCGAATTTCTGGGCTCAAGCAATCCTTCTACCTCTACCTCCTGAGTAGCTGCGCAATATAGTTTGGCTATGTCCCCACCCAAATCTCATCTTGAATTGTAGTTCTTGTAATCCCCACGTGTCGTTGGGGGTGCCTGGTGAAAGGTAATGGTAATTGAATCATGGAGGCAGTTACCCCCATGCTGCTGTTCTCAGGATAGTGGGTGAGTTCTCACAAGATCTGATGGTTTCATAATAGGCTTTTCCCCCTTTTGCTTGGCATTTTTCCTTGCTGCTGCCATGTGAAGAACATGTTTGCTTCCCCTTCTGCCATGATTGTAAGTTTTCTGAGACCTGCCATGCTGAACTGTGAGTCAATTAAACCTCTTTTCTTTCTAAATTACTCAGTCCCAGGTGTGTCTTTATTAGCAATGTGAGAACGGACTAATACACTGGGACCACTGGCACAGGCTGCCATGCCCGGCTTCCTGCCTTCTTAATTAGCATCTCGAATTTCAGATGAGAACAAACTCAAAAACAGCCCTTAAAGATTAACAACAGCGAGCAGCAGGTTAAACACAGCCTGCATTAAGATGAAGTTCTATAAAGGATGATGAATTGTCTATTAAAAACAAAGACACCAAATACTGAAGAGTGATCACTCCCTAAGTACTTCACTACATTTTACCGTTCCCCGTGCTGTTGAGATTTATTATCTACTGTATCAGTACGGTGGAGATACGCAATGGTGTGCTGCTGAGCATCTCTTCCCCTTCTCTACTGGCATCACACTGGTAACTCAAATTGGCTATGCTGGCAGTATGTACACCACGCAAGCAGGCAAACACTGTAAGTCAGCCTCCCTCTTCCAGACAGCCAGCTATTAAGCACTGAGCAGCACACTGTTGGCTAAAGAAGATGCTACAGCTTCTGGTTAGCTCATGTAAGGACCCTCATCTCACTCACTCTCATGCTGGCCCTATAGAGACCTAAATTTTTAAAAGTTGCCTAAATATCAAACATCATCTTTTAGAGAAATGGTTTCTTTTTTGAACACACATACCTCCTTTCTAAACAAGTATCTTTTATAATAACAGCAAGTTGGGCCCAATAAGTTTTGGAATTCCCACGATTAGTTTTAGAAAAAGGCTTATGGCAAGTGATTTTTATTTTTCGTCCTTCGTCTTACATCAAATACTTTCTCTAGTCAGAAGAGCCGTTGCCTAAGGCAACATAAACTGGCCTCATGAACAAGACAGACCAATTTGCTCCCCATAACCTCCAGGAAGTGATTAAGTAGACCCAGAGCAACTCCCTGGAATACAAAGGCCAGATTCACTAACAAATGGTTTGAAAGCTATTTGGGTCACTTCAGACATATGGAATATTTCACTTGAGTTACTTAAAAGAATATCAAAATTGGACAATGTGGGAAAAAAAGCATGTGTGTAAAGGGCATTACGTATGTTTTGATTTTTTTTCTTTAGATGTGGAGTGCCTGCAAATTCTCTAAATAGCCACGCTGAACTGAAAAAAGATACATACATGGGATATGTCATTTTCAACCTACTTTTTTAGATAGCTGAAAAATAATCCTAAAATTCCATATAGTTGATAATGTGTGCTATACAAACACAGCTACAGTCATGCACCGTTTAACAAGCGTCAAGAACAGACTACATATATGATGGGGTCCCATGAGATTATAACGGAACTGAAACACTCTTACCACCTAGTGACATCGTAGTTGTGGTAATGTTAGTGCAACACATTACTCATGTATTTATGGTGATGATGGTGTAAACAAACCCACTGCATAAAAGTATAGCAACACAATCATGTATGGTACATAATACTTGACAATGATAATGACTACGTTACTGGCTTATATATTTTCCATATTTTTAATGTTAGAGTGTACTTCTTTTATTTTTCTTTTACTTATTAAAGTTTTCTTCAAGTTGTTTTCAAGAATAAGTTCTTATCATAGGAGATGACGGCTCTATGCATGTTATTGCCCGTGAAGACCTTCCTTTAGGACAGAATGTGCAGGTGGAAGACAGTGATATTGGTGATCCTGTCCCTGTGTAGGGCTAGGCTAATGTGTGTGTTTGCCTTGGTTTGTTTGTTTGTTTGTGTTTTTGTAAGATGGAGTTTCGCTCTTGTTACCCAGGCTGGAGTGCAATGGCACGATCTCGGCTCACCGCAACCTCCACCCCCTGGGTTCAGGCAATTCTCCTGCCTCAGCCTCCTGAGTAGCTGGGATTACAGGCATGCGCCACCATGCCCAGCTAATTTTTTTGTATTTTTAGTAGAGACGGGGTTTCACCAGGTTGACCAGGATGGTCTCGATCTCTTGACCTTGTGATCCGCCCACCTCGGCCTCCCAAAGTGCTGGGATTACAGGCTTGAGCCACCGCACCCGGCTTGCCTTGGTTTTTAACAAAAAAATTTTATTATTTTTTTTAGTTAAGGTTTTACTCTGTCACTCAAGCTGAAGTCAGAGGCACAATCTCAGCTAATTGCAACCTCCGACTCCCAGGCTCAAGTGATCCTTCCCACCTCAGCCTCCCAAGTAGCTGGGCCTTAAAGGTATGCACCCAAACCCAGCTAATTTTTGTATTTCTATGTATAGATGGAAGTTTCATCAGGTTGCCCAGGCTGGTCTTGAACTCCTGGGCTTAAGTGATCTGCCTGCCTTGGCTTCCCAAAGTGTTGGGATTACAGGTGTGACACTACACCCAGCCAAAAAAAATTTTTTTGACATGGAGTTTCGCTCTTGTTGCCCAGGCTGGAGTCCAGTGGCACAATCTCAGCTCACTGCAACCTCCACCTCCTAGGTCAAACAATTCTCCTGCCTCAGCCCCCCAAGTAGCTGGGACTACAGGCACCAGCCACCACGTTGGGCTAATTTGTTGTATTTTTTTTAGTACAGATGGGATTTCATCATGTTGGCTAGGCTGGTCTTGAATTCCTGACCTCAGGTGATCCACCAACCTCGGCCTCCCAAAGTGCTGGGATTACAGGCATGAGCCACTCTGTTCAGCCTCAAAATTTATTTATTTATTTATTTATTTTGAGACGGAGCTTCGTTCTGTTGCCTAGGCTGGAGTGCAGTGGTACAATCTCAGCTCACTGCAACCTCTGCCTCCTTGGTTCAAGCAATTCTCCTGCCTCAGCCTCCCGAGTAGTTAGTTGGGATTACTTTTTTTTTCGAGATAGAGTTTCACTCGTTACCCAGGCTGGAGTGCAATGGCACAATCTTGGCTCACCGCAACCTCCGCCTCCTCGGTTCAGGCAATTATCCTGCCTCAGCCTCCTGAGTAGCTGGGATTACAGGCACATGCCACCATGCCCAGGTAATTTTTCGTATTTTTAGTAGAGACAGGGTTTCACCATGTTGACCAGGATGGTCTCGATCTCTTGACCTTGTGATCCACCCACCTCGGCCTCCCAAAGTGCTGGGATTACAGGCTTGAGCCACCGCGCCCGGCCGGGATTACTTTTTAATAGAGATGGGGTTTTGCCATGTTGGCCAGGCTGGTCTCGAACTCCTTGAGCTCAAGTGATCTGCCAGCCTCAGCTTCCCAAAGTGCTGAGATTACAGGTGTGAGCCACCACAGATGGCCCAAATACACACTTAACAGTTAACGTTAATATTTAATCAAAACTAAAATGTTATCACGTCATGGCTTTGATCTTTAAAAAAATCATTTGTAAATCTGCCTGGAATGAGGTGCAAGGCTTTATGTCCTACTTTGATGAGCACTGCGGGGGATATGTTCATCATCCTGCATGTGATCTACTAAACAGGATGAAGAACATCTGCATTTTACACTTTATTTAACATTAATAAAAGGATACATACAGTTACAGGAAAATGACAATTCAGTACACTTATTTAGAAATAGTTTAAAATTTACATCCTTCACCACCATGGAATATTTTAGTCTATGTAGTCAAAGTCTTCTGGAATTCCAAAAGTTTTATCAATTTTATTTTCTTCAAACCCAAATTTTCTTTTGGCCCAAGATTTTATTGCAAATATGTTATCTATAAAGAAAATTGAGAAATAATTTTGAGAAAAGCACAATCATAAAACATTTCAAGTATAATTATCTTCATTGTTCTTTTACTTTCTTCTATTAACTTTCAGAGTTTTCTGTATTTTTAAGAGTAATGGCAAGTAATATTTAAATACTATTTGGAACAAGTTAATAGATCTCATATTTAAAAATTCTGTAAGCTGCTTGCTGCTAAATACCAGACTTAAGAAAGATACAAAGACAGGGACAGGTCTTCTACATTTCCACAGCAGAGGCCAGGGCTGCTGCCTCATGAATTAAAGTTGCTACTGTTCCCAAGGGGAACACATTCTCTCCAGAACCTTCTTCCTGTCCCACAGACAGTAATGGTTTCCAGACAATCAGGCCAGTAGGGAGAGGGTATGGGGAGCAGGGAAAGGGGTTCTATTCTCTTAAGACTAAGAATAGAAATTTCCTCAGCATCCCCTGGGGGAATTTAAAATGCATTAACCACTGAAAAAAGTGGGTATATCTACTTCAGGGGATTTATCCCAAGGAAATAAAATGAACTGTGTACAAGGATTTTTGGTTAAGGGTCCTTATACCAGTGTTATAATAAAAAAATAAATAAATAAAAGCAAGCTAAATGTCTACCCATCAGGAATGGCCCCTAAGCACAGCTAGTGAGGGAGGCAGGAGAGTGCGAGTGTGCTCACAGTGGTTGCACTGGGAAGAACAGTGGATTTTTTTTCTTTTCCCTTTTTTTTCCTTGAGAAAGGATCTTGCTTTGTCTCCCAGGCTGGAGTGCAGTAGTGCAATCTCAGCTCACTGTAGCCTCAACCTTCCAGGCTTAGGCAATCCTCTCACCTCATCCCCACAAGTAATAGAAACGCCAGGCATGCACCACTATACCCAGCAATTTTTGCATTTTTTGTAGGGATGAGGTTTCACCATGTTGCCCAGGCTGGTCTCGAACTCCTGAGCTCAAACAATCCACCCATCTCGGCATCCCAAAATTCTGGGATTATAGGTGTGAGCCACCATGCCTAGCCTTTCTTTTCTTAATTTCATACATTTCTTTAATGTACATATACAACCTTTATGATGAAAATGTATTATACCCACAGAAAAAATAATGGTGTAAGATTTTGTAGCTTGTCAGAGTATTCTGTAAAATGCTAAACACTCTATTAGTAGTGATAATTAAGTAAAGGGTTAGAATATGTTCTTCTGGAATGTTATGGGCTGAATCATTTTCCCCCAAATTTGTGTGCTGAAGTCCTAGCCCCTACTACCTCAGAATGTGACTATATTGAAGTAGATCTTCAAAGAGGCGATTAAGTGAAAATGAAGTCATTGGGATGCGCGTCCTAATCCAGTCAGGTTGGTGTCTTTATAAGAAAAGGAAATTTGGACACACTACAGGGAAAACGGTGAGAGGACGCAGGGAGAAGGAAAACCTTCAGAAGAAACCAAACCTGCCAACATCTTCATCTTGAAATGTGTTCATCTGCACTGGGAAGAACAGTAGGTTTTTTTTCTTTTCCCGTTTTTTTTTTTCCCCTTGAGAAAGGATCTTTTCTCACCCCTCCAGGGTGGCGAGAAAAATTTCTGTTAAGCCACCCTATTTGTGATATTTTGTTCTGGCATCTCTAGCAAACTAATACATGGAGTTTGATCACTTTTTAAAATATTGTTTCTATGGAAGTTTAATCCCAGGTATCAAATAATGATAAATACCTTTCTGGAATGAGGTTTATGGTGAATACTACTGCATCAAATAGAACAGCGTTAACAAAATTAATTTCTTTCAATTAAAGCGTTATGGAATGTCAACAGATATTAAAATGATCTTTACTCTTTGTAACAATCTAAAATGAATCTTTACTTTTCATAACAACCTAAGAGAGAATGTTAAAATAATACCATAAGGCACTCTAGGATAATTTTTACCAGTCTCTGATCAACCAGAACATTCTTGCTAATCACACCCAAATGTTACAGAGGGTCTGCTGCTACATAAGACAAGTATCAGGTGTACTGCAGGTATTACAGAATGTGAAGAACCTATGCCTTCAAGTTGACTCAAGAGAGAAAAAAAAAATAATTTATGACTAAACAATTACAAAGTGATAGGTGTCTTAGAGAGAAACGGCCAAGTCTTATGTGTATTGCTTACAGGATAGGCTCCATGAAGACAGAAAGATTTTTAGGAAATGAGAGAACAGATACAACAATGTAGGAAGCTTGCAGGAACAAACTTCAAATCCGGATCAGAAAAGAGAATGGGGCACCAGGGTAAGACTACTGAATAGCTTCTACAGAAAAGAGTTCCTGATTCACAGGAGGATAAGAAACTATTTCATTATAAACATTTAAAGATTAAAAACAAGAAAAAGTCCCAGCACTTTGGGAGTCTGAGGCAGGCGGATCATGAGGTCAAGAGATCGAGACCATCCTGGCCAGCATGGTGAAACTCCGTCTCTACTAAAACTACAAAAAATTATCTGGGCATGGTGGTGCCTGCCTGTTGCCCCAGCTACTTGGGAGGCTGAGGCAGGAGAATTGCTTGAAACTGGAAAATGGAAGTTGCAGTGAGCCGGGATCACACCACTGCACTCCAGCCTGGTGACAGAGCGAGACTCTGTCTCAAAAAAAAAAAAAAACAAGAAAAAGAAGAAATAAAACCCTCTTCACAACAACATCTAATGGACCAATTCAAAGAAGACTGATAAAACATTTCCTTGGGCCACTCACAGTGCAACCACTGTGAGCACACTCGCACTGGTATGTTGGCCTTCAAGATAACATCATTGACAATCTTGAGACTTCATTCCCTGTCAAATAATTTCCCTACTACATATAAATTTTTATAAATGGATATAGAATAATTTTTTTATTTTAAAGAAATAATCTTAAGAGTGGCAGAATTCCTGTTTGATTTATACGGTGGCATACCAAAGATACATAAAGGAATAGGATGGGCAATATCATTTGCAATGAATCTAGGTTAGGACCTCAGGACACCTATCCCTCTTCACTCATTAAGATCCTTTTCACATGTTTTATAAGAACTTCACCATCTTAATTATTATTATCATCATTATTTTTTAGATGAAGTCTCACTCTGTCACTCAGGCTGGAGTGCAATGGTGTGGTCTGACCTCACTGCAACCTCTGCCTCTCAGGTTCAAGCGATTCTCTTGCCACAGCCTCCTGAGTAGCTGGGACTACAGGTGCCTGCCACCACACCCGGCTAATTTTTGTATGTTTACTAGAGATGGGGTTTCACTATGTTGGCCAGGCTGGTCTCAAACTCCTGACCTTGTGATCCACCCGCCTTGGCCTCCCAAAGTGCTCGGATTACAGGTGTGAGCCACTGTGCGTGGCCACTATCTCAATTATTAAGCAAGGTTTTACATGATACAATTGAAGTCACACTTAAAGTGTATTTAATATCACAAAGTATTTAGATGTGGCATTTCTATACTTAGACTCAGAGGTAATCTCTCATCCCGTAGAACTGAGATACTGAATTGTTGAACAGTAAATATTCTCAATACTAGATACATTTTAAGGACTTTTTTTTATTATTATTATTTAATTGAGACAGTGTCTCACTCTTGCCCAGGCTGGAGCACAACCTTGGCTCACTGCAACCTACGCCTCCTGGGTTCAAGCAATTCTCCTGCCTCATCCTCCAGAGTAGCTGGGATTACAGGTGCACACCACTATGCCTGGCTAATTTTTGTATTTTTAGTGAGATGGGATTTCATCATGTTGGCCAGGCTGGTCTCTATCTCCTGACCTCAAGTGATCTTCCTGCCTTGGCCTCTCAAAGTGCAGGACTTTTTTTTTTTTTTTGAGACGGAGTTTCACTCTTGTTACCCAGGCTGGAGTGCAATGGCTTTTTTTCCCTATCAGCTGACCTCATGATCCGCCCACCTCGGCTTCTCAAAGTGCTAGGATTACAGGTGTAAGCCACTGCACCCAGCCTGAGTAGTGCATATAGTTTTCAGAAATGCCCTTTCTTGAACAAAGCTAGCAGAAAGGTATCTGAATTTCACATCACAGTAAGTGTAAAAGGAGTTTAGTTATAGTTTATCACTAATATTATAGTACATACCAGTCCATCTGTTAGCAGCTTCTTTGGCTACTTTATTCGCTTGGCCTGAAAAAAAATTATATATATAAAATGAAATGTATTTACATACATAAAATTAACTTTAGCTATGTATACATTTATATTTTTTCATATGAACAAAATTAAAATATATAAATATATAAAATGGCTATAAAAAAGCTGAAATAGTAACATAATATTATATTTTACAACTTGCATATTCTCAAGGGAATTTTAGGTAGTTGCAGGTAATATTAGTAATTAATGGAAAGTCAATGTGAACAATTTCCCTTTCCTAAATGTCTATCTTCATTGCTCCTTTAAAGACAACATGTAAGTTTAAATGAGATATTTTTCAAACAACTCACCGTGGTCTTGGCGCCTTTGTTAAAAATCATTTGGGTTTATTTCTGGACTCTCGATTCCATTTCATTAATCTATAGGTCTATTCTTTTTTTTTCTTTTTGAGACGGAGTCTCCCTCTACTCAGGCTGGAGTGCAGTGGCATGATCTCGGCTCACTGCAACCTTTGCCCCCAGAGTTCAAGCAATTCTCCTGCCTCAGCCTCCCGAGTAGCTGGGACTACAGGAGCCTGCCACCATGCCCAGCTAATTTTTGTATTTTTAGTAGAGACCGGGTTTCGCCATGTTGGCCAGGATGGTCTCAATCTCTTGACCTAGTGATCCGTACACCTCAGCCTCCCAAAGTGCTGGGATTACAGGGATAAGCCACTGCGCTCAGCCTATTATGTCTATTCTTATACCACTACCATATTGTCTCTATAACTGTAGCCTTGTAGTAAGTTTTGAAATTGGGAAATTTGAATCTGTAACTTTGTTCTTTTTAAAGATTCTTTTGACTATTCTTGGATTTCCATATGAAACTTAAGATCAGCTTATCAACTTCTGCAAAAAAGCAGCTGAAATTTTAATAGGTTTTGCATTGAATCTGTAGATCAATTTGGGGAGTATTTCCTTAATAATACTGTTTTTTGGTCAGGTGCAGTAGCTCACACCTGTAATCCTTGCACTTTGGAAGGCTGAGACAGGAAGACTGCTTGAGCCTAGGAATTCAAGACCAGTCTAGCCAACACAATGGGACCCCGTCTCTACAAAAGATAATAATAAAAAATTAGCCAGGTGTAGCGGTGCAACTTGTTGTCCCAGCTACTTATATTTTCCTTTTGCTCTTTAGCTGAAGGTTTGTATACTTTGTGATACCCTTAAATAACCAATTTTTGGTTTTGTTTGAGTTTCTCATTTTTCATTTCTCTTTGAACATATTTTAAGTAAGTCTTTGTCTAGTAAGTTCAACATGTGGGCTTTCTCAGTAACAGTTTCCATTCATTACTTATTTATTTTTTGAAATGGAGTTTTGCTCTTGTTGCCCATGCCGAAGTGCAATGGCACGATCTCAGCTCACTGCAACCTCCACCTCCTGGGTTCAAGTGATTCTCCTGCCTCAGCCTCCTGAGTACCTGGGATTACAGGTGCCTGCCACCATGCCTAGCTAATTTTTGCATTTTTGTAGAGACAAGGGTTTTGCCATGTTGGCCAGGCTGGTCTTGAACTCCTGACCTCAGCCTCCCCAAGTGCTGGGATTACAGGTGTGAGCACCACTCCGGGCTCCATTGATTATTTTTATTCCAGTATGTGAGCCATGGTTTATTTCTCTGTATGTCTTATAATCTTATTGCAAAACTGGACATTTAAAATAATGTTAGCCTGGGCAACATGGTAAAATCCTGTCTCTACAAAAAAATACAAAAGTTACCTCTGTGTGGTGGTGTGTGCCTATAGTCCTAGCTATTCAGGGGACTCAGGCAGGAGGATTGCTTGAGTCCAGGAAGTTGAGGCTGCACTGAGTCATGATCATGCCACTGCACTCCAGCTCAGGTGACAGAGTGAGAATATAAAATAATAATAATAATAATAATAAATTTAAAAAATAATATAAGGTGCCTGTAATCCCAGCTACTTGGAAGGCTGAGGCATGAGAATCGCTTGAACCCGAGAGATGGAGGTTGTAGTGAGCGAGATAGCGCTACTACACTCCAGCTTGGGTAACAGAGCAAGACTTTGTTAAAAAAAAAATACATAACATACATATATGTGTGTGTATGTATGTACATATAGCCAGATCAAATAAAGACAGTCTTTCCTATTGGTGTCCTCCGGGGAACCACCAAACATGCAAATGATGACAGTACACACACACACACACACACACACACACACACACAACTTCCAAGGGTTGCTTGGAAACACAGCAGCAGATTCTTCCCTCTCCCCAGGATTGTTGCTTGTACTAGTTGTTGCAGTTTGTTTGTTTAGTAATTTTCTTGAACTAAATCTGTAAAGTCTGTGTTCTTACGTGTGATTACTGAAGTCTCTGTTTGGTTAGCTTAGTGGTCAAGCTATTAATTGAACAGAGATTTCCTTAAACGGGTGGACTAAATCCCTATGAAGAGACTCTCTTTGCCAAAGGGCTCAGCCATTTTTGCTTAGAGGGTTTGCCTGTGTGCTGGGACATGCATTCTCAGCTAGGCGGTTTAAAATACTGACTCAGTCTTCACTTCTTGCTTGTACAGAGCATCAAAGTCAGCTAGATATGGGGACCGTTCCAGGTCTTAACTAAGAATGTGAACAACCTGAAGCATGCATGTAGGCCTTCTATACTTCCAGGAATATGTTGCTCTTCAAGGCTCTCATGAACAAATCCTTGAGATTCTCCTTTTTTTTTTTTTTTTAGAAGGGTCTCACTCTGTCACCCAAGCTGGAGTGCAGTGGTGCGATCACAGCTCCCTACAGCCTCAATCTCAATCTCCTGGGTTCAAGTGATCCTCCCACCTCAGCCTCCTGAGTAGCTGGTACTACAGGCACATGCTGCCATGTCTCATTCTAAAATTTTTTTATAGAGTTCTTCAGACTGGTTTCGAACTCTTGGGCTCAAGCAATCTTCCCAATGTGTTAAAGTTACAGGCATTAACCACTGCACCTGGCCCTTTTAAGCTTTTTGATTAGTCTACTGTTTGATTAGTATATTGTTGATGAATCACTGTTCATCAACAATGATTAACTGAGAAGTTAAAAGTATTGTTTATAATTGTTATAGACAAACACTTCCCACAGAGAGGATTTTAGCATTGGGCATACCTCAAGTCAGATCAAATAAAGACAGTCTTTCCTATTGGTGTCCTCCGGGGAACCACCAAACATGCAAATGATGACAGTTCTTTGGGATCAAGGCTCTTAAAGAGCTCCAGCTGCATTTTGCTCCCCTAGACAACGGGAATGCAGGGTCTTTATCCTTCAAGGTCACTGCTGAGGTGACAGCGGGAAATGAGAATAGGCAAATTCAATACCACAAAGCTCATTATTCTTACTCAGAGTCAGCTAATTTTCCTCAGTAGGCTCCTGTAAGCCTTTGGTTAATTTCCAGAGTTCTGAAAGAGGTGACTACAACAATTTTTGCAAGTTTTTGAAAGGGCAAAGTTTCAGAAGTCCTTACTCCACGTTTTTACTGTCATCCTGGCATTTATTTCTAAGAACATTTCTTAAGTACCTCTAAGATACTTCCAAGTATTTTTGTGTGAATTTAATTTCTACTAACAGGTTTCATCTGGTCACATTTGAATAATGGTCAGAATATCTAAATTAAAATATTGTTTAAAGAACTGTTGCTTTTAGATATCACTTCTTGAATATTTGCAATTAATCTTTCTTTTTTTTTTTTGAGACTGAGTTTCATTCTGTCGCCCAGGATGGAGTGCAGTGCATGATGTTGGCTCATGGAAGCCTTCACCTCCTGGGTTCAAGCGATCCTCCTGCCTCAGTGTCCAGAGGAGCTGGGATTACAGGTGTGTGCCACCTGTAATCACCTGGCTAATTTTTGTATTTTTAATAGAAATAGGGTTTCACCAAGTTGGCCAGGCTGGTCTCAAACTCCTGACCCCTAGTGATCTGCCTGCCTCAACTTCCCAAGCAATTAATCTTAATACTTGCTTAACGATACCAATAATTCAAATGGTATAATTAAATATAAATATTTCTCATGGGGGTTACTGAGAAATAAGAAAATACATAGCCATAACCCATATGAACATAATAGTTATAGCTACAGTCACCAAATTGTGCTCCGAATAAACCATGACAGACTTAGAGATAAGCCTGAGTGTTATAATAATGGAGGGGAGGGGCTATAGCAATGCTACTAAGAACCAAATCCTATTAAAATCAATTTGTGAAACTCATAAGCCTTTAATCCAGTATAATCTGTTCTGCACTAACATGACAGCTGGAATCCAATGAAACCCCTCATTATCAAAAAGTGCATTTTAAAAACAATAATTTCATTGAGGAATGGAGATTTGGGGTGAGTAGAGGTTAAAGTCTTAAGAAGTTCTCTAAATTTAGTGGTAAGGGGATCACTGGCATCTACTACTTAAATGTCTTGGATTTGTGGATTTATAGTTTTCATCAAATTGGAAAAACTTTAGCTTTTATTTCTTCAGATATTTTTCTGGCCCAGCAATCTCTCCTCCCACCAAAACATACTCCATTTGGGACTATAATTGCACCTATATTAGGTCCCTTGAAGTTGTCTTAAAGCTCACAGATGCTATTTTCATATTTTTTAAAAATTATTTTATGTATATAAGAGTCAGGGTCTCCCTACGCTGTCCAGGCTGGTCTCAAACTTTTGGGCTTAAGTGATCCACCCACCCTGGCCTCCCAACGTGCTGGAATTACAGGCATTAGCCACTGTGCCTGGCCCCATTTTCATATTTTAAAAATTATTTAATTTCTCTGTTTCATTTTGGATGTTTCTACTGCTATATCTTCAACTAATACTAATTCCTTCTTCTGCAAAATTTAACCAGCTGGCAATTCACCATATTGTATTTTTCATGTAAGACATTGTAGTTTTCATATCCAAAAGTCTGACCTGGGTCTTTTTTATATCGTTCCTATTTCCACTTAACTTTTTGAACATAGGGACTACAGTTATAATAACTGTCTTAATGTTCTGGTCTGCTGATCCTAATT